CTGAAATCTGAACTTCTCTGGAAAATAAAAAAAAGCTTCTGTGGGTAATACTAATTAGACCTTCATCATATGTGACGGACTGTTTAAACAATGAACAAGGAATGGTGTTTCTTTGTTTAATTTATATTTTTGTAACACTAAATTTATGGTGAATATGGAGGAAAGTAAATGTGAATGCACATTAGGAAGACAGTTTCAAGACTTCAAGTGTTAAAACTGGTTTAAAAAGAAGCTTTTTACTTAGATTCTTGAGGATAGACTAAACAAACAAACAAAAAAATTCACCCATTATATTGGTTATCGGTGTTGGCCTTCCCCTCCCAAAATTGGTATTACCAATTGTATATCGCCAATATTATGCCAATGTAATGGCCACACTTTTCATATCAGTCGGGCTCTACTAGAAACCATTCTAGTTCTCCCTGTGATTGGATGTATTCAGTGGTGATTTTGCCGGTTGAGCATGCGGAGGATTTCTTCAGGTGTTTCTACCACAGCTGAAGGGATAATATATTAGCAGAGAATTAGTAGTTATGATAAAAACGTGTGGGTTGGAAATGAGTCTCTGAAAATGACTCATTTGCATGTAAAATCTCTTCAGGCTGCTTAACTGCAAACTATCAGACTTAAATCTGAGCCAGATTGCTCTGCGCTAGTTAATCAGGAAGTGTGCTGCATGAATGACTCCCTGCAGACAAGTTAAATGTCTCACTGTGGCCATTAATCAAATTAGCAAGCTTCAAATTTGATTTTATAAAGTTGTGTCCATCCTGTTCTGGGAACTGGTTAAACTCAACAGTACATGATGTCATTTAATTAACCTTTTTAAAAACAGTTTTGATATGTTGTCTTTCCAAACAAACTGATTCAAGTTTGCATGTCATCGAGGCTTAATTTAAGATTAATGTTTCATTTTCAGAGCATCTGCTGTATTTTCATCAGCCGATGATTCTCATCCATCACGCGTCTCCAGTTATTGGCTCATCTTAAGGAAAATTCCTACCTTTTTTAAACGAAACGGCGCGGTTCTTTTAGGTGAATGAGGAAATTATTCCTGTCTCTTTAACAAATTTTTCCCGTCACCTAATTAGGTTTTAAAAATTTTAGAGGTAACTGGAAAATGTCAGATGTTTCTGTCTATTTATCTGCAACTCAGAAGAAAAACAAGCATCAGTGTTGAACATTTCCACAAAATGTGCTAAATTGTGTAGTTTGCAGTTATTTATTTTTGGGAGATCATTTAGTAAGTTGACTTCTGTCTAATTTATGCGTGCTTTATTGTGGGATCAATTTGCTTATGAGGTGTTTTAAATCTCCCACCTGAGAGTCACATTGTGCTAAAACACTCCCAGCCTTTCATGAGCTGTAAGCATTTAATTGTTAGACACACATCTATGTTAGTGGTTAATGCTGGCAGTTGTTGACGGTGGGTGGACGGGGGGTGGTGGTTGTGGATGAAGGACAATTTTGGTAGCCGGGGCGCATGGTTTTTTTGACAGGGCGGGGCATCCTCCTTGATAACGGTAGGGGAAACACTGTATATATTCAACCTTTATTTATACAGTTAATCCCAATGAGCCTCGGGGACTCATTTCAAAGAGAGACCTGATTTTAACAAAGAATGATGACAACAGTAGACAACAAAGACAACAGTAGACAATCATAAGAGGAAGCATACAAATTGAGAATAACAGGTGAAAGGAATGGTATTAAAAATGAAACGACAACAAAAACAGCCAGGTTGTAAGGTGATGTAGGATATTAAAAACAGGAACATGTCTGCATTGTTTTTTCCCAGGAACTTAGCAGATGTTTGAAGCCTCTTAGAGAGGTCAAGGTCGAGAGCTTCAGATCTTTTTGCAAGATATTCCAGGAAACCGGAGCGGAGTAGGAGAAGGCCCTTTTGCCTATAGTCTGCACTGAGGGAACACTGCATGTATTAATGTCCTGAGAGCGCACGCTGTAGCTGCACTCACGCAGTGACATGTAGGAGGAGATGTATGAAGGCAGCAGACCAAGAAGTGATTTAAAGATGAAAATGTACCAGTGAGAGAGTCTGCGTGAAGTTAATGATAACCAGTTAACCAGTGAATACAGTGTGCATTGATGGGTACGATAGTTACAGCCAGTTATGAATCTTAGCGCACCGTGATAGACATCGTCCAACATCTGCAGAGTTCTTGTAGGGGCGTTTATGTAAATAATGTCGCCGTAGTCACTATATATATGGATCTATTTATAATATGTAGCATTTGTGAGCTATCCTGTATAAATAAAGGTTGATGATATAACTTGAAAAATAGGCAACGGGCCAACTTCCTTCTTAGTGTGACTGTATCTAAGCATAATGAAAGGTTCGTATCAAAACCGTTATCCAAGGAGGGCGCCCTGTCCTTTCAACAGAACCAAGCACACCACCTACCAAAATTCTCCTTAACTACCCCCCCCCCCCC